CCATCAACCTAGCAGTCCTTATTAGATAGTAAAGTGTTAGAGAAGGCCTATTTCACCATGGCTACGTCTAGACTGGCCCCTTCTTCGGAATAGGCATGCTAATTTCGAACTTTGGAATAGGGAAATCCGCGGGGGATTTAAATATCCCCCGCGGGATTTAAATAAACATGGCCGCCGCTTTTTTTCCGGCTTGGGGAAAAGCCGGAAAAGAGCGTCCAGATTGGTGCGATCCTCCGGAATAAAGCCCTATTCCGGAGGATCTCTTATTCCTACTTTAAAGTAGGAATAAGAGATCCTCCGGAATAGGGCTTTATTCCGGACGATTGCACCAGTGTGGACGCTCTTTTCCAGCTTTTCCCCAAGCCGGAAAAAAAGCGGCGGCCATGTTTATTTAAATCCCGCGGGGGATATTTAAATCCCGCGCGGATTTCCCTATTCCAAAGTTCGAAATTAGCATGCCTATTCCGAAGAAGGGGCCAGTCTAGACGTAGCCCATGTCTTTTCACAGAGGTGTCAGTGTCCACACCAGAGGTAGCTTATGAAAATCAAAGGGATGTTTCTTGCCTTTTCAGCTAGAGGTGGATAGGAATCTGAATCTCAGCAGTTTTTATGGCACTGGAAATAGAAACATTAACAGCTATATTCTGTTACTAATGTTAGTATATGTACCATATGGTCTTTATTGTACTTGATCATTGTGCAAAACTTCTATTGATTGCAGTGGGAGTTCATACTGAACGAGTACAGTAATTCCTCATTTCACATGGTAGATACTTTCAGAAAATGATGGTGTTAAGTGAAAACGTGCTACACAGGGTCAATTTTCCCATTGAAAATAATGGAAAAGGTGGGGGTTGCGTTTCAAGCGGTGGTGTCAAGGCAGTTTTCTGTTGGTGCTGAGTCAGCTCCAGCCTGCACTTGTTAGCAGCTGGCGGCTGAGCACAGGCAGCTGCCTTGGGACCGGGACATAAGGTTGGAGGAGAAAGGGGACTGGGTTACAGCAGGGAGGGGAGGTGTTTGGCTCTGGGGAAGGGTAGGGGATTGGGTTGGGAGTATGCCCCTGTGACTGGTCTGCCGGGACCTGCACTGCGTCCAGCGGGGGGGGGTGTTGAATTACACACCGTCCCCGGAATAACACGATTTCCCCAGCTGGCCCATTGCCAGCGTCTGCGTGGGGCTTCCCCTGCCTCCCTGCAAAGCGGCGGAGGGTTTGCTGCTCTCCGCGCCGTTCCCTGGAGCCCCTCCCCCTTTGACGGACGCAGTGCAGGTTCCGGCAGACCCGTCACAGGGGCATACTCCGAACCCAATCCCCCTCCCCTCTCCTCCCCTTCCCCAGAGCCAAACACCTCCCCTCTGCGCTGTAACCCAGTCCCCTTTCTCCCCCAAACTTATGTCCCAGTTCCAATAGACACCACTGCTGGAAACGCAACCCCCACCTTTTCCATTATTTTCAATGGGAAAATTGACCTCGCATAACACGTTTTCACTTAACACCATCATTGTCTGAAACATATTGATAGTGTTAAATGAGGAATTACTGTACACCAACAGGGAACGGTGGCTGAATCCCAGTAGATCACCCCCTTCCCCTGCATGAACCCACTCTAGTGAAACAGGCCCAAGGCTTCCTGCTCTTTGCCACAATCGATTACTGACAGAAACAAGCAACCCATCACAGGGGCATACTCCCAACTCAATCCCCTACCCTTCCCCAGAGCCAAACAACTTCCCTCCCTGCTATATCCCAGTCCCCTTTCTCTCCCAACCTTATGTCCCGGTCCCAAGGCAGCTGCCTGTGCTTAGCGGCCGGCTGCTAGCAAGTGCAGGCTAGAGCCGTGAATGCACATGCAGCCTGTGTTATTTCGGGGCTGGTCGTGTTATTCAAAAAACGTTCCCTAAAAATAAAAAAATTGTGCTATCGTTAAAACGTGTTAAGCGGGCTCATGTTAAACGAGTAATTACTGTACTTGTAATGGATGGGACTGCTGACCAGCACCCAGTGACTAAGGTGTTAAACTCAGGTAGGGTATGTCTACACTACCCTGCTAGTTCGAACTAGTGGGGTAATGTAGGCATACCGTACTTGCAAATGAAGCCCGGGATTTGAATTTCCCGGGCTTCATTTGCATAAGCGGGGAGCCGCCCTTTTTAAAACCCCGCTGGTTCGAACCCTGTGCAGCGCGGCTACACGGGGCACGAACTAGGTAGTTCGAACTAGGCTTCCTAGTTCAAACTACCGTTACTCTTCGTGAAATGAGGAGTAATGGTAGTTGAACTAGGAAGCCTAGTTCGAACTACCTAGTTCGTGCCCCAAAAGGGGATGTAAATTAGACATATCAAAATGGTAAATGAAGGCGGGAGTTGAATTTCCCACGTTTCAATTACACATGGCGACCGCGGCTTTTTTTTTTTGAAAAGCTGCTTTTCTAAAGAAAAAAAAAACGTGGTTAAGACGGAGATCTTTCGAAATAAATGTTCCTGTCTGAAAGATCCTGTAATGCTCAAAAAATGAGGTTCACAGGATCTTTTGAAAAGGGGCATTTATTTTGAAAGATCCCCATCTTAACCACATTTTACTCGTGGAATGAGGAGTAACGGTAGTTCGAACTAGGAAGACTAGTCCGAACTACCTAGTTCGTGCCGTGTGTAGCCGCGCGGCACAGGGTTCGAACGAGCGGGGATTTAAAAATGGCGGCTCCCCGCTCATGCAAATGAAGCCTGGGAAATTCAAATCCCGGGCTTCATTTGCAAGTGCGGTATGCCTACGTTACCCTCCTAGTTCCAACTAGGAGGGTAGTGTAGACATACCCGTAGCTAGCAAAGATTTTGGCAAGGGGCTGGGAGAACCAAGCGAGATAGAGGGTTGAAATTTGAATTGGTTATAGGTTCTCTGCCTGCTTTCTTTGTGTGGGAGAGTTAAATCAGGAGTTGAGACACAGAGTGATTTAAATCCAGGCAGTACTACCATGTCTCAAGGAATTTGGGGCATGAGAGTGGACTGAGCAAACAGAAAATTGGAAGTAAGTACAAGGAAAAGTGAATCTAGTTGTGTTCGGGGTGATTTTTATTTATTTTGTCGTTTGGTTTGAACTGCTCCGTGTGAATCTATGCCTCCCCTCCTCACCTTGAATTGTACCCAGACTTTTCTCTGTGTTTTGTTTTCCTTAGCTGCTCTGTAACCTTTAGCAACCAAGTATGCTTTATCAAGTTTACCTTTTGTTTTGTAATAAAAATCACTTTTTTTAAGGTGATAATTTGATTCGTGTGTCCCAGCAGGTCTGTCTGTCTGTGTATCTGCATGCCTCAGACTGAGGGGTCAGCTACTAGAGACTGCTGCTTGTTTTTCTCTTTTCAAGCTCTTTTGAAGCAAAAGAGCTTGGGATACCCCGGGGACTTGGTTCATGTGTTCACCCCTGGTTTTAGGGATAACATCACTTGATGGCGGCAGCAGTTCCCCAAAATCTCTGTATTGTGATTCTGGGGGGAAGTTTTTTGGTAACCAGTGCCTGTAGAGGCAAGGTTTTTAAGCTCTTTTGCGGTTCCTCACCTTGTGCACTTGGGGTAAATCTACACTACAGAGTTTTGTTGGAAAAACAGCCATTTTTCCGACAAAACTTGAAGAACGTCCACACTGCAACTGCATTCTTCCACAAGAAAATCAAAAGAACAGAGGGTTTTTTTCTGGCATTGGCAATCCTCATTGTATGAGGAAGAAGAGGAATAAGAACAGGTCATGTCCATTCCGTCCATAATAATCACAGCTTATATGCGAGAGCACGTCCATTCACTTTTGCAGTGTGGATGCTCTCTTTTGGAAGAACTTTTTTTGGAAGAAAAAAGTTTCTTCCGAAAGAAGCCTGCAGTCTAGACATAGCCTCGGAGTGCCAGTGGATGGAAATAGCCTTGACACACTAAGTGCTGGCATGCATCATCTGAGAGATACTTTCTACACAGAGCTCTAGATCTTTCACATATCAAGGGTGTCCAGAGAAGTTGATTCACCTTTGTTCAAATAGATATATATAAATAATACCTGTCATCGCAATAAAAGAATACTTATGCTTGAAATCTGTATGCTGTCGGATTGGCAATAACATATTTTAGTTTTTAAAAAAATATCACGCAGCCACTGCACACATTCTGAGATGGAAGTATATTATAGGGACTAATATTCGTTTTCGGAAGTCAAGGAAAACAAAGATGGAAAGGGATTTTAAGATAGCTTAGAGAAATCCCCCCCACTCCCCAATTTAGGGGATGCAGTAGGCGGATGGCAGACAAATTACACATTTTTTACTAAGAATTTTATATACAGATTACAGACCTCTTAGTCATTGTAAACGTATAAATATACACTCGGGGAAAAAAGTTTAATTCTGGCCCTGCAACTAATCCCTGTGTTCTTTTTTGGAAGTAATTATTTGTACTAATGCTCTATTGGGCTGATTTTTCAAAGGTGCACCTGCAGTTCTTATTCTATGGGTTTTTATATCTCTTTGAACGCTGAACATGTAATTAATTCCGGAGTCTGTAAAACATGACAAAACATGTCTGGCTGCCATTTTTTAGTAGTACTGTTTGAATTAAAGCTAGTACGGAGAAACAAAACAAATAGTGTTAGGTTCCCTGGCTAGCATTTCATGGTTTCAAGAAGTTGACAATTGTTCCATAAAGGTTAAACATGTATGCTTTGACCTGTCAGTAAAATTAAGTCTACTAAGGCTATGTGGCACTCTAGAAGACACAAATTTAGCTGTGTGACTAAACAAAATGTACAGTACGATACAATCATGCTTGTAGAAGTATTTAAAATATTTCAAGTCTAGTACAATGTAATAAAAATGCAGATGGAATGAAACTATCATTTACAAAGCTGTCTGAAGATATTCAGATGTTTTAGCAAGCTAGCAAAGTAATATCTGAAAAGTTAAATTGGAAAAATGGTGTATGGGTTTCTAAATAAGAACAGGGAACACAAATTAAATGTAATTGGGACAAACTCAAAGAGTAAATGTTTAGTCTTTAATTTTGTTTAACCAACCCCTAAAATTGTTTTGTGCAGACAATACATGGTTGTATTAGTTTTTTTTTATTCATCACATCTGAAGTTAGTTACAAGTATTGAATAATTGAGTAACAGTGTAGCTAATACAAAATAATGCAGCTGCATGGATTATGTCATCCTTCGTTTTACAGATCGTAGTTCTTGTATGATATTATATAACAAACATCCTACATTTTAATCCTGCCTGCTTAAAATCAGCTAGAATTATAGACTAATTCCCAGTGTCATTTTACTGGTTCAAGGAACTGTCCCTCCAGAGGGTCATCTCTGATAAGCACTCTGTAATGTGTATTTTTTCTTAGAAAACTTAAATGATTTGTAATTTTAAATACAATTTGAAGAAAGCAACATGTTAGTGCAATGTTATGTAACAAGAATGATCAGTATTCAAAAAAACAAAATAGAAAAACAAAATGTATAAAAAAAGACAAGGATGTAAGGCAACTACAGGATTTTTCCTTTTCCCCGTTTATAAAGTAGCTGGAATGAAGAATCAAAGGGAGTGAAATTTCAAAAAACACAAACCCCCACAGGAATATTTTGTGTGTCTGAAAGTTGTATCAGTGGAAAATCCAACCACACAGCTTGTAGAAATTGGCTTAGTTGACAAACCACAGTACACTTATCTTTCAACATCCTGACCAAAAACACAAAACTCTACCTTTTGCAAATCCTGTCCTTACATCCCTGTAGCTATGTAACTATTCTGTAGGTATAGCACTACATATATGAAAATAAAGATAAGTTATGCTATTTTCAAAATATTCTTAGATACAATCTTGTGCAGGTGCAAAGATGAAAAATATACTGCTCTAAGGAATAAGTAGTAATTTAATGGTTATTTGAGTGTATATTCTTTATGCTGGTAGCATTTTTTCCCCCTTTCTTTCACATTCTCTCCTTCTAATCTTTCACCATATCATCTCCATTTCTATCATATCATCCCTTGTTTCTATATCTGCAACTGCTTTTGCCAACATGCCAAGCATTACCTAAGATATTGCTGTGAGTACTGTAGTTAGTTACGCATTCATCTTGTCACTCATCTATTTCTATAAACTGCTGTAAATTACAAAATCATGTCTCCCTTTGCCATAGAAACACAGTTATTTCTATTAAGTGACTAACAAAAGACTTTGGGTGTACTCCTGGCCCCCTATCTCAATGGCAAGATACTGACTTCAGTGGGGTAGGATTTCACCCTTTGCATATTCTGTTCTTCTAGTCTTATTGTAAAATGGGTCCACACCCAAAATAAAATTATACACGTATATACAATTACTGAATGTTAGCATTTCTATGACATGGCAAGGCAAGCTAAGTTAGAGTGTTTAGTGACATAAGTATATATATAAAAAAAAAACAAAATACTGCAAAAAAGGGAAAAATACTTTGATGACTATCCAAGCAATTCCCTGATCTAACTTAAAAACCAAATTGACCAGCCTGCTTCCACTGGTCTGTTTCGTTTCCTTATATCTCCAATTGCAGCTGACTGTAGCAACTCTATTAACATTACCAGTTGTTTCACCTTGCATAGGGGCGGAACACTATGTAGTTTGCCTGCATAGTAGACCTGGTTTGCTCTGCATTTCAACGCTATGCAATACTTTAGCACTGCATGGGAAACAATAAGCTTAATCATTGTCACCCGATACATTTTATGTGTAACAGGAATATACACTGCTTCTTTGCTTAACTAAGCCGAAAGGAAAGCTTGGATTTATGATGCAGTTTGATCTATGTGGAGAACAGCTGCTTGGGTTGATTCTTCATCAGACTGTTCTGTTTCCCCATTGGTTGGTTTGTTTCTTTCATCATACAGTCTCTGGGTAGCAACTTCTAGTGCTGTCCCATATTCTTCATCATCTTCAACAATTGAGAGCTCGATGTTGCTGTGTATCATCGCGTCCCCTTCTCTGCTCTCTTTCTCTAGGGAATCAGCTATTGCTTTACTTTCCTCAATTAAAGAAGTTGGAGTTGTGATCTCCGAGAGCCCCTCAGTAAAGGAGGTCTCCTCGTCATTCATGGCCTGCTCACTGCTTGTGGTTTCTGGTGGTTTATCCTCATTTTCAGCCGGGGTCTCTCCTTCATGGACTTTTTTCACGTTGAAGGTGAGGGGAGACACTTTGAAAGAAGAGCTTTTTTGAGAAGATTTCTGGTGATGTGGGGTGAGTGATTTCTTAATTTTCTCCCGTCGTTCCTGAGACACAATTTTTGTGCTGATCTTGTTCATCTTTTTCTCAATATTTTGGCGAGAAAATGCTTTCTTGAGGCTGTCCACTTTCTTGAGGCTTGATCTTTTTATCTTCTCAGCTCTTGACTCTCCCATCTTTTCCTCGACACTGTCATCCAGACCATCTTCATCATGGGGCATTTCATCATCTGATGACAGCTCCACCGTATGCAATGTTTCTTCCAGAGTTTTATTCTCATCCACAGACTCTTCCTTCCCTTCTGTAATGCTGGGAACGGGTTCTTTCACAAACACGTTGGCAGGAATCTCATTTTCCTCCTGAAAGAGTTGACAGTATTTGAATTTCATAGTTCACAGGACACAAATGTGATAAACAAAGCACTGTCCTGAACAATGTTACATTGTTCTTTATAAAAAAAAAAAAAAAAAAACCAACACAATGAAATGAAGGAAGCTGAGCATTTTTTATTGTTCTGGTATATTTAACCAGCAAGAAGCTACTCAAAGTCTTCTCAACCTTTCTGTTGTACAACATAAGACTAATGAGCTGCCAATTCTGAGATTTCAGTTTGAGGGCTCAGTTTTTTATTATATATATGAGAATAGAAATCCTACTTACTGTCATTTCAATTAGATATGACTAATAAAGGGTTTAACTACAAAGCTGTACATCTAACACTGGAGAAAAAAGCTAGGGGTGTGGGTAAGGAGTGAGACTGGGCACACTGGATTCAATTCTTGGTTCTGTCAGACTCACCACATGACCTCAGGTACGTTGCAGAACCTCTTTGTACCTCAGACTCCCAATCTTAAAATGAGGATATGCTACTGACCTACGACATAGGGACAGCAAGTCTTACTTCATTAAAATATTACATATTTGAACGCCTTAGGTAGAAAGTGCAATATGCAGGCAAAGTTTTGAGAGAGAAATATACATGGTTGCTAAAAATTGGCAAAAGTAGGTGTGTAAAGAATAGACCAAATCCTCAGCTGGTGTAAATTGTTGAAATCTCACTGGTTTCAATAAGTTTTACTGCAGCTGATGATACGGCCCATTTTTTTTTAGTTCTGTTTAACTGGGATTGCAGTAGCTTGAACACTGCTGCAATAGTTTGGAGGAGCCAGATTTTGCCCAGCTTGATAAGATCTCTGGCATTTTGCAATCATCCTGCTCAGGTTCCCACCTCCTCTGTATGGTGCAGAGCTCTGGGAAGAGAGACAGAAGCAGCAGAAGGAGGGAGAGGCTGAGCTGTTGCAACCATGAAGAGTTCAAAGGGGAGAGCTCTAGTAACAAACACTATGTTAAGGTGGCAGATTTTTGCAGGACTGTGTCCTAAGAAAGAAAAGCAAGCAAACCCAGAACTGTTCCTATCATTGTAATATCTACATGTTCTGCATTCATATCACGTTCTCATTTTTAACTTGGCAAAACTTAGGAGATAACCCAATCATCTTGTTCAGAGCTACAG